TATTGCAATGTATCAGGTTTAGTAAAAGTTGTTTATATTTATATAATCACAGTTGCACTAATTATAACATATTTTAAAAGATTGCTATTAGTTAATTAACTATAAAATTAAAGTATAAACTTTTAATTAAAAGGTAGTAAATGTAAAAAATTACTCTTTCTTATGCTCTTGTGAGATTTCAAGCTCTTTTGTAAATTGTAACACTTCGAAAGTATTCGTTCATTATTTCTCTTCTTTCTCTAATTTTCCCTTCCGCAGTGGGAGATCGAGAAGTGACCTTTCACTCTTTTGCTCTCCCCACGGTCATACACCTGTGCTTCGATCTACAAATAATGAGTTAATAAGGAAATATCATAATTTTTTTTACCCGACAGAGGGTAATGAAGAGGTCAAAAAAAACCCGGACATACCCACACATCTTATTTCATTTGATTTTGAAACCAATAAAAGCCAGTCAGATGACCATTCAAGCTAACAATTATTACTAAGGTTTCAATACAAAACCTGACCTTAGTCACTACCTTTGATAGTTCCCCTGTGGGACCAGTATAAAAAGGGATCGCACCTGTGCCTAAGGGCGATCATCGAAAGGAAGCCTAGGAGGATGACTCCATTTGGACCTCTGCTCAGCTACCCTACCAAAGAACTGCTCAGGACTTGATCGCCACAGGCTAAGAGGTACTTACTTAGAGTAGATAAACTCTCTCTGTTGGGATAGTTTATAAGTTAGACGAGTATTAACTCTTGATATGTAACTCTAATCCGGTCAGACTGTGGAACCTGTGAGAAGTGTCGATGAGACCAAATTGAGTTGCACTACTAGAATTGTTTATCTTTTAAATCAGTATTGTATCTTTCGTTTTATTCTCTCTTTGTATAATCTTAGTTGTTTATTAAATATATTATTATTATGGTTAAATGCATTTATTTATGCTCTACTTGACCTATCTATTGGTAATGGTGGTAGCTCCATTACCAATAGATAGGTTGGTAATGGAGCTATCACCTATCTATCATCAAAATCAAATTCTCTCTTCTTTGTGCAAATCATGAAAATAATAGTTCAGGCCATCTGGATCATCCAGATTGAACTTTTTTTAATCTGAAAGAATAACCTATTGCCATTCTGTATCCCAGGACATGTGATCCCATGCATAAGTCAATGTTGCAGTTTTATGTTTAGTTAGGGTAGGTTTTCTTTTCAATTTCTTTCTTCTAAGTTGTTCTGATGATTTTATCACTCTTTGAAGAGTACAGGGATGAACTTTTAACTCTGATTCACAATTTTTAATGCTGATAATCATACTGTTGCTTGCAACCCTCAAAAATTGCCTATCTCTTGCATTAAACTTAGAAGGTCTTCCACTATTGTTTTTTGAGTTGTATTTATCACCTTTTTCAATATAGTTGTACACAACATTGTGACTCCTTCCTGTTTGGGTAGCTACAGCATGACATTTTTGTAACTATAGCCATAAAACATCAATTTGTCCTTATTCCTTCTCTTTCAGTTTTACACCTTTTCACATGGTTGACAGATTACATTTTGTACACAAATATATGCAAATATCTCTTTATATATGTACACATCCTTAATTATTTACATTTATATGAAAATTTGCAGTTATTTTTTCAGTTGTATTTAAAGAATCAGAATTAAAATTTTACTTTTAAACATAAATTATAAATGATTATGGCTTATTTTAAAATTTTCAGTTACATAGGATTTATTGAAACATATAGAGATCCTGCTGGAATGAGAGGAGAATTTGAAGGTAATTTTATATTCATTCATTAATAATTTTTATTCATATAAAATTTCAACACTACATTTTTGAGAATTTATGTATAAAATTTGAAATAGTAAATAATTTTTAACATAATTTATAAGAAAGCATTATTTTTATTATTAAATTTTATTTCTATAGGATTTGTTGCAGTAGTAAATAAAAATATGAGTGCCAAATTTAATGAACTTGTTAATAATTCTACAAAATTTTTGCCATTATTACCTTGGCCTGCTGCATATGAGAAAGATAAATTCTTGAAACCAGATTTTACATCTTTAGATGTATTAACTTTTGCTGCAAGTGATATTCCTGTTGGTATATGTATACCAAATTGTAAGTATTACAAAATAATTTTAAAAATTTTATTTATGCTAATGTGTAATGGATATTTTATATATAAATTGAAATCCAGTAAATGTATTATTATGGTAAATGTTAACCAAGTAAAATTCTACTTTTATTCTGATTAATATTAAAGAATATTGACTAATGGTGATAAAAGAATTTAAATTTTTCTTATTTTATCAATTAATACTAAAAGGATCGAGTAATTCTTTAATGCACTCTGATGAATTTTACTTGAAAACATGAGTTCATAGCACAAAAATATACTGTTTAATGCTACTTTTTATGCAAATGAGAAATTGTTAAACCAACCAAATAATTTATACATATCTTATAACTAAATATTTTAAAGATATTTGGCTATTGAGTCCATATGAGGTTTCATGTGGAGGTATTTCTTAAGAAACAATTATTTTTTTAATACTTTAATATCAAATTACTGTTAAATCTACATAATATACAGTCAAACTTCAGTTTTTGAATGACTCACTTTTCAAACAAATCAATTCATGAACAGAATTTCAAACTCATATTTGCCCCAGTTGGCATATGATAACTTGGTTGCCAAACAAGTTACTCAGCAAGAACCAACCACAGATTAGAGAGACACAGACACTCAAGTCCCTATACTTCCTATGTTATGTTAATTAATTAAAGAAAATCGACGGTTCAACCAATCAGAGACATAATTTCTGATTCAGAATTTAGTGGTGCTGAGATCACTCACATCATTAGATGTCATGACACAAATCATCAATGATGTTACTATTTAAATTAGATTTCAATGCACATGCAGGAAATATATTACTACTTTTTTCATTACATGCTGCAGTTGAATTTAAATCACATTAATTAATAAAAACCGTGTTAATTAACATTCATAATATAAATGGCAATCAAGAATTTGTCTTTAAAGGTGCTGAAGTCAAATTATATCTGAAGTCTATGTAATATAATTGCAAATAATATAATTGCAAAAGGTAAAAAAAAGGCTTTATTTTGGAGGTCAAGAATGGATTAATCCATTTTCTATTGTTTATTATGGGAAAATTTATTTCAGTTTTAGAAAAACTTTTAGGAACAAATTATGTTTGAAAACCAAGATTTGACTGTATTTTGATTGAATATTTATAACATATGATCTGATCAGTTGTCTACTATTAAATTTTAATTATTATATAATATAAAGAAATGGTAACATCAGATTAATGAAAAATCAAAAAGTTTTTAAACAATTGGTAGTATTTAAAACCTTCTTGTGAAATTATTCCTGTCTAAATTACCTGGTGCATATATCCACTTGATTGCCTACTTGCAGTCATGTTTTGCATTATAAAACTAGGTGTGAATAGAAATATATTTTTAAAATGTCTGAGTTAAATGAATATTATGAGACGAATCTACAAATTCCTGATGTCAGTTTTTTTTATTAGTGTAACTTTGAAAAAGTAATTATAATAATGTAAAATGTCTCTTGCAGTATGAATTATTAAAAAATTCACTGCTTACAGCCACCATCTTATATATATTCCAGAATCTTATTTATACTCCACCTATTACTTGTAAAAGTTTTTTTTCTTCATATATACAGTAACAACATGGTTACATGTAAAAGTTGTATTATAAAAATCAAAAACCTATAATCAGGTAAAGTAACCTATCTGAAAAATAGATTAATTAGGAAAGAATATAAATATTAATTTCAAAAATTAGAAAATGAGAAAGGTTGATATCCTACTGTTTTTATTAACACTATGCATAGCATATCATCATGTGTTTATTCAGACAATTTAAGTTATGTAAAAAAATTTAACTGCTGGCTCAGAAATTTTTTTTTTCTGATAACTATTAAATTTTCTACCAGTATAATGAAGGTTATTTAGTGATAGGCTATGAAATATTACATAATATAGTTCATCATTATGTATTTATTGATAAATTTGATTTTATGAAAACACTAATAAATTCAGATTAACATTGATTCAGAGAAAGTTTGAGTTGTCAACCATCATTCATATGTTACATCACTTTTACACAAACATTATTAAACCTATGTTATTATGGTGATTTATAAGACTGATTAAATTTTGTAAGAGAAAAAAGTAAGAGTTTGACTCTTTAAATAATGATTTCTTTATTTTTTAACTTCCAACACCATCCTTGTATTTCCATTATTGCCCACCAGTGGCCAAGTGGTTCTGTTCCCTGAACACTGGAAATTCGATTGTGGGTTCATGCCTTGCCTGGATGGTCTGGCCATGTGGAGTTTTCCGGGTTTTCTCCACATCTGTAATGCTTGAATAGGGACCAGTTACCCTTAAAAAGACCTCCCAGAATGCATCCCCCTAGGCAGATCGCCCAAGTGTTGTGTTGTTATAACTTAACAAAAAAACAAGCAAACTTCCATTATTATTCATTATTATTATTCTAGTATTGTTATTAATTAATTATAACTGCTGGAAATGCAAGGATGGTGTTGGAAGTCAAAAGTTAAAAATTTTAAATGGAGAAATGTTAGATAATAAATATTGAAAAGTAAAATAAAATAATTACCATATTCATAATTAAAATGTGTCTTTATTTCTCTGAATGTCCAATTATAATTTTAATATCTGGTAAGTATTATCTATGATTTCATAACCACTATATTTTCAGTTTGTGAAATTAATATTTTAAGCATTAAAGTCTAAAAAGTTTAAATTCTCTTTTTGCTAGATTTTAAGCTTTTATTTGTTATAAACAAATGTTAACTACATTATTAATGTATGAATTTGAAATTTCTAGTGCAGTATTCAAATGTCATTAGATCATATATGAAACTTATTAATGTTAAATTGTAAACATATCTTTTTATAATTTTTATAGATGATGAAATTAGACAAGATGAAGGCTTCAAAAATGTGTCTTTGGGTAATGTTCTATTGGCAAGTTTTAGGGAAACATCACCAAACTTTTTAAATAAATCTGACCAAGTAAGTTAATTGTTATATAAAATATATTCTATTTAATTCTGTTTTTCTGATTTCAAACTTCATATTTTAATTTAAAACTTTACTTATTTACAGAGATATTTGCTATAATGTTTTTTTTTTTTTTGATAATGTTTGTTTGCATATTTAAATAAGTTTTATTTATAAAAAATACAATTAAATAGAATAGTGTTAACAAAATATGCTGCTATTCAGTTTTTTATATTCAAAGTTTTTAGTTCATTTCAAATTAAATTTTAGAAAGTTCTGAAAATGGAATTGTATTTTTTCTAGTTTGACATTTTTAATATTTAAAAATGTCAAACTAGAAAAAATAATATTTTTTTAAGTAAGACTGATTAAAATTTATGAGTAAATAAAGAAAAGTGTTATATTCAGGGTTCTTATACACTTGGAAAGTCAGGAAAAATCAGGGATTTTCATTAGTATTCAGAAAAAGTCATGATTCCGTTCCCTGAACACTGGGAGTTTAGTCATGGAGTTCCGTCCAATGCAGCCCTGCCACGTGTCACAACAGTCTGCCATCCACTGGCGGTGAAAGGGAAGGTATCAGTCGAGCATTTGGTGGTGTGACAGTTGCATGAGAAAAGCGCCATTATGTCCAACCTGCAAAGGGGCATGATTATTGGAGCTTGCCTTGCTGGAGCGTCCATGTCTAGAACAGCCAACCTTATGGGTGTTTCAAGGTCCACTGTGTCAAGGGTTATGACAGCCTACACAAAACTGGCAAAGGTGTCCTCTGTGAAGCAGAACAGTGGGTGAAAGTTGAAGTTGACTGACCGGGATAAATTAGTGTTGAAGAGGATAGTTGTCCAAAAACATAAGACTATATACACTGCAGCAGATAACCTCCAAGATGAACACCCATCTCCAGAATCCTGTATCCACCAAAACTATTCAACAGGAGTTGCATGCTGTGAGCATTCATGGCCAAGTAGACATCCCAAAGTCGTTAGTGTCTCTGCAGAATGCTATGAAGTGACGACAGTGGTGCTGAGCCACCAAAACTGGACACAACAGCAATAGGAACAGGTCATCTGGTCTGACGAATCATCGTTTACATTATTTCAGACCACCGGATGTTTGTTCGTCTGGCGAACACCAGCAGAGGCATTTCATGTTGACTGTCTAGTTACTACTGTGAAGCATGGAGGGGGCTCTGTGATGCTGTGGGGAGCGATATTGTGGCCTTGCTTGGGGGCCACTCATAGTCCTGAGGAAGAAGGTCAGAGATGAGCATTATCACAGTATTCTCGCAGATCATTTACACCCTATGCTTCATACTCTGTTTCCTGGAGAACATTCTCTATTCCAAGATGACAACACCCCTGTACACATGGCTTGCTGTGTTTAAACATGGTTGGATGAGCATAATGATGAAGTGGAACATCTCATGTAGTGTCCTCAGTCCCCTGATCTCAACATCATTGAGCCTGTGTGGAGTTTTTTAAAGAACAAAGTTTGTGCTCAGTTTCCTCCTCCACGTACACTACCTGAATTCGAGACCACTCTGCAGGAAGAATGGATGCAAATTCCCTTAAACTTTCTGCACAACCTTTATTTCTCAATCCCACATCAAATACAAGCTGTAATACAGGCCAACGGTTGTCCAACTCCCTACTAATAAATATTTTTCATTCTTTCACAGGTGTTCCTATTATTTTGTCCTACACCTGTATATATAATTGTGGATTAATAATAAGCTACTATAATTTAATAAAACATTTTATTTTTAGTTTTAATAAATTGGCAATTATAAAAAAATATATAACAGTTAATTAGAAATAAGTAACTAATTAAAAAGTTGAAGAAGCAACAGCATATGTGCATAGTAAGTCAAATGCTGTTTTATTTTGTCAATTTGTCATACTGTAAGGGATTTGAGGGTCAGAGAAAGACATGGAATTTAAAACAAAATTTTGAGTAGGAACCTTGTATATTAAATGAGGAAACTTTTTGAGGAAATATTAACAATACATACATACAGTTTTTATAGTTCTGTATAGCTTAAATCTATACAGAATTATAAAAACTGTATATATGTATTATTAATATTAATATTTAAACATTCAAAATTCTCAATGCAAAGAAATTTTCAAATTTATATCTTATTTCCATTAAGTCTTATAAATATAAATAAGATAAAATTAATTTATTTAGGAATTATTTAGTAAACACAGAGTAGGAGCTTTTGAAGTGCAAGTAGGCTTGCATGAACTTCTAGGTCATGGAAGTGGAAAACTTTTCAGAAGAGATAAAGATGGTTCTTTCAATTTTGATAAAGAAACTGTTCTTCATACAGAAACCAAAGAAAAGGTAATTATATATTTTTTAAATTAAGTTTTAAGCAAAGCATCCATATTGTAAACATTAGTAAAAAAAGGAAATTTTCTGTAATATCACTTCTTGAATTTAATGTACATTTTTATTTTATTTTATTTTTTTTTTTGATAAATTAAACTAATAATTTGTAATTATTTGTAAGTTAAATTTTTTGCAATGTTTTGGAAGATGATGGAAAAAATTTATCATTAATCAGAAATCTAAATCCCCTTGTTCAAGTATTTTACTATTATAAGTAAACATTCTAAATATTATAAACAATTTTATATATTTTTTTTTCAATTAAAATATAATTTTGTTTATATTTTAAACTGTTTTGTAGACATTTAAATATTTTTGTCAACTTCCTGCCTGAATTTGAAACTGCCGATCAACCTAACCCAATACTGGCTGGGTGGAAAATTAATGTCACCCTAGCTTCCCTAAAATGGGGACAGTTTAATCCAATTGAGTGCAATCTCTTGTCACTCTGTCAATGCGAAAGAAAAGTCCGACATGACGGATGTCACCTCATATATGGGTGTCACACATGCTCTCTGCTTTGGCGATGTAAAAGTTTCCAATAAACTAATACTTAATTGTTAATATTGTAATTTTAAAAATTTCTTTAATCTTCAGCTGAAACAAATAATCAATTTTCTTGTTAAATGTAAAAGAATCATTTTAAGAATCAGAAATCGTGACAAGATTTGCTCAATTCCGATTCCTGAAAAATGTACAATTTTTCCAATTCCCGATTTCAATTAACCATCTCATCGCTAGTTGATAATACTATGCATAAATTCTGTTCAATCTATGAACAAAATTACTTTTCTGAATCACTTTCTTAAATTTAATTGAAAATGTTTTGCTATTTCATGTAGTGCTATTGCATTGCTTTATGGAAATTGGAACTTTTAAACAAACATCTATGAAAATTCATTGAAATGTCTTTAATATTAGAATGAAATCAAATTATTTTTAGTTTTAAGATTTATGAAAGTTTACTTTTACTTTTATTACAAAATTTCATATTATAAACATTTTTTATTTTGTTTTTATGAAGAAAGTATTTTTTCTACATAATATAATAATATAATAAAAAAAAATTATGTAAAAGTTTTCCACAAATTTCATAACATTGTTTCATTTATTTTGATTCAGATTTCAAGTTGGTATGATGAAGGAGACACATTTTATTCTAAATTTGCGGCACTTGGGTCATCTTATGAAGAATGTAGAGCCGAATGTGTGGGATTATATTTATCAGTTGATCAAGAAGTTTTGAAGTTAGTTGTTATAAAGAATTATAGAGTAAAATTTAAAATTTTGACTTTATATTATTTTTTTTTTATTTTCCTTCTTGATTCAATTATAATTAAAGAATAATCTTTGGTTTTCCTTAAGTGGATAATACAATTGTTATATATGCCATCTAAAATGATATATTTATAACATTTCTGAAATTTATTAATTAGTGAATCTAAAAGATAAAATTTATTTCTTAAATTTCGGGATTAAATTTCATTTGCCAAATGAATGACAATAAAAATAATAAGAACTATGAAACAATCCATATTCTCTTATCTTTTTGGCAAATGAGACTAAAGGAAAAATTTCTCTTTGGAATTACAGGTATTCCTCACTTAATGACTTTAATTTGTTTCTGAAAGCTCTATCACAAAGCATAGTCATAAACGAATAAGCAAAACTCATTAATTTCAATGGGAAAATTATAATGTGTTTCATTTCAATCAAAGATATATAAACAGGTTTACATTAAGAATAAACAACAATCTGAAAGTAAATAAATACAATTTGGACAGAAAATATAATATAATGAAAGATGTTTTTTTGAGAGAGAGAGAGAGATAAAGAAGATTTAATGACATGATGAGTGATGGTTGATGATAAAGAAGAATGAAGGACTCATTTTCTAGAAAATTGTATTGAGTTAAGTGATCCACCTTCAAATTCCATGTCTAGGAATAGATGATCAGAAGTATTCAATGATAATTTTCTTTTTCTTGATACTTTCACACTAAAAATTCTTGATATGAAAGGCTTTGATATATCTGTAATATTGGAAATAACTCTAGGTTAAAGAAATTCAAACTGAAACTTTGTTTGGTTTGTCATAGTTTATATTCATACATCATCACCATTTTTATTTTGTTTTTTTTACTTTTTCCCTGTGGATACTAAAAGTTTTTAATCAGGCCCATTGGGGGTTTGGCTTGTCTCACAATGGGACAATCAGGCATTAAGGAATGAAGTACATTTCTGGAACATACCACCCCAAAAAATTCCTTGGGTTTTTCAACTCATTAAATGTGTTTCTAGATTCTACAAAGAAATAGACTAACGCCTTAACAGCTTGGTCATTCAAGCAGTTAGGCAGGTTTTTGTGTACATCATCATGAAGGGTACAAAGCATATGTGAGCATTTTTGAAACTACTGTTTAATGAACAATGAAAACATGGACAATGCTTTTTGTCTACAAAGTCAATAATTTATTTTTTGAAGTGTTCAAATTTTTCTTTGCCTTTTTCTTCATCAGAGAACCTATATTTGTATTTGAGTTTACCTTTTACAAGTTCCTCAATATCGCCTGCATCAATTTCTGGAACCCAGCCTCTTGCAAAAACCAAAAATCTTTGCTTTTGCATCAGCTATTTCATTAAACTCGCTAACATTTACAACAAATTGAAGACAGTTTTTCTATACAGAATTCATTGTGGAGTGACTTTCTTTTCAAATCATTGCAACTTTTCTCATTCTGCATCATTTTCTTTTTATTTCTTTCAGTTTATTCTGAGAGCATCTTGTTACCATTTTTAAATGAATTAGTGACTATGTTTTTATTAAAGAATTTTTTTTTAATAAAAAAGTTATACAGAAAAAAATGGAGTTATTACCTGAAAAGTGGTATAACTTTTCAAAAGTTGTTATAGCAAAAAGTCGTTAAATGAGCAGTTAAGCAAGGGATAAGCATACACCTACTTTCATTTTCTCAATATATTCTTACAAAAATACATGCATTAAATTCAAATTGATAATGGAGATTTTACATCATGAAAACAGTAATCACATAATATGGATTTTTGCATTTTTATAAAAAATTAATATATCTATATAGAAATGTTATATTTTGCATTGATATTGCTGTCTAAGTTTATATCAGTGGGATATCAATGATGATTATTTTTATAGATTAATTGAATAATTTAATTAGTTATTCAATTATTCTCTGTATTGAATAATTTAAAAAATTTGTTACAGAATATTTGGCTACACAAAAGATGAAGCTGAAGATGTTAGTTATATGAATTGGCTTGGAACAGCTTATAAAGGACTTGAAGGATTGCAAATGTATGAACCTAACTCTAAATCATGGTTACAAGTTAGTATGCATTGTTAAATCTTATAATTCATTATGTCAAAATTATTTTATGATGAATTTTTTATCTGGTATAAATTAATTTTATTTTATAGAAGAAGGTTAACTGAAACCTTGAAATGTTAATTATATAATGAATTATTAATGTTGAAAATTATAAAACATTGGAAATTGCATGTTATATTTGTAATGATATTGAAAGTTAATTGCAAATAAATTATGTTTCCTTTCATATAGTCAATATCTGTTTTATGTTATTAACTATGTATTTTGATATGTGTACACATTTATTATGTGTTATCTGTTTCTTAAAGTATTTATGATAACAAGATATTGGTTGGATATGTTCTCAAGAATGATCTTGAAAGATTTGGATATACTATAACTTCTAAAGTTCAGCTCCATAATTATCTGTGTGCACTTGTATGCATTTTACCTTAACTGCTGCTGATAATGAAAATTAAATAACAATGGAAACAAGATTAATATTTCAAAAAATGTATTCAAATTAAAAATATACTATCACTTTTACAGAAACAAAAACAATGATTAGAAATTTTTTTTTAATGTTTCCATTTTCATTTGAATTAAAAATAAGAAAGAGGGTAGGAAAATGTATACTTTACATTTAAACTATTGTATACAGAAGAAGAATATCCTTGTAATAGTGCATATGTGAACATATATAGGTCAGCAGAATAAGTAGTAATTTTTTTCTTATACAGTATATATATATCTTGTATAATGTTAATAACTCATTATATAATTAACATATGGATATTGATTATTATAAATGATTTCTCTAACTTTGATGTAAAATAACTACTACAATTCTAGAAGTATATTTCTCATCTGAGATTTTTCTCTAAATACGCAATGTTTCTTTTAGGCTCATTGTCAAGCACGTTATGTAATACTTCAAGTACTTTTGGAAGCTGGAAATGGCTTTGTTAATATAGAAAAAACAGATGGTGCTGATGGTAAACCAGATTTGCTGTTCACAATGGATCGAAGCAAAATAAAATCTATAGGAATGCCTGCAATTGAAACTTTTCTGAGAAAATTACAGGTAAAAACATTTAAATAACTAGTAATTCATAAAGGTCAATTATATTTTATATAAACCGTTTTTCATTAAAAGTTATAATTTTAATTAAAATTACAATTGAAAACAAATACAAATAAAATATTTTGAAGTCTTCTTATATATCCTTTTCAAACCTAGAACACAATTATGACATTAATGGAATCAACTTTTTGTTGTAAGCTCTTTTCTGCTTGTAAAAATAAAAACCATTGAAAACTTTTTTGATGTCAGATACTTGTAAAAAGATTTGAATTTAGATGTGCTCTGGATTTTTTTATTTTCTAAAGTTATAATATATTTAAAATTGTTTAATTGTTTTAGATCTCACTATTCTTTTTTTTTTATTATTTCTACTATTTTACTTTTCAATTTGGTACGCATTTATGCTTCTCATATGTTCTGTATTATTCTGAATCAAATGACTCCAAACAAACTTTCAGGAACAGAATAGTTTATTAGTTCAATTTAAATAACAAAATAAACACATCAAAGTAACTCCAAAAAGCAAAAAATATATACTAAACAAGAGCTAGAGACAATTTTTGAATAATCTGTTTTACTTTAAAAAGAATTATTTATTTGACAATTTGCTTAGACAAAAATCTTATACCATATCTTTATTAGATATTTAAAAAATGTCATGCAATATTATTCATTATTATAAAAGTACAGTCAATTAACTGGCTAGCTAAATAGGAAAATTAATTTTATTAAAAAAAATAAAATTTCAAAAGCAAAACTTTCTAGAATTTTAGTTATTTGTATAGAAAGCATAGAAAGGTTACACTGATGAATTAAAAACTATAATGAAATAAGATTCTACGTGCATTCAGATATTACTGCTAGAAAGCATTTAAAACATTCAAAAACTACTCAGAATTATACAAACACTTATAAAATTTTTTATCTAATTCAACATAAGAATTCTGTTTTTGTAAAAAAGTGTTGTAACAGTTAGTTATTTTCTATTTAACTTAATAATACTAAGATTTAATTAATTACAAAAATGTGTGTTGTTAAGTTATTTTGTGTGTGTTGTTTATATTGTTGATAAGTAAATTTTGTTGCTTTTGTTAACAGTATAAGAAGGAATAATTATTTTTACTGTAGATTATTCAGTGTTTCTGTTAAATTTTTATTGGAATTATGTACTATATGATGATCTGTGATGTTTGGAAATACTTGGAAAAATATTTTAATGTTTATTTTATCTTAAAAAATTCTTTGTTGTGTCGTTGATTAAAATTTTAAATTTTGTTTAATGTATTTGTTCCATTTTTTAAAAAAAAAAAAAAAAAAACATTGGAATGAATATATAAAATAAAATTTCCTGAATTCTTGATTTTCAGTTTGATATGTAATTGGCTTTATTCATAATTAATAACATTTGAATTTATGACTTTTTTTGTTTCTGTATTTAAAATATGTATATTATTGCAATTATAGGTATATAAAGCAATTGCTGATGTGGACAGTGCTACCAAAATGTATGAGAAGTATTCTGCTGTTTCAAAAGATGGACCTTTTCCATTTCTTAATTATAGAGAGATTGTTATGGCAAGGAAAAAGCCTCGAAAGATGTTTGTACAGTCAAATACTATTTTAGAAGGTATTTATTTTGTTTAAATTGTATTTAAAATAGTTTATTTTGTAATAAAATATAATACATATTTTCATCAAATCCTTATGTCAAAATATTTTTAAGAATGAATGAAAACCATTATTTGAACTAGTCTATTGCTTCATAAAACTAAGTAATACTTATTAAAATAAAGTTTCACATTAGAAAACAAAATTTATTTTTGAATGTTTTTGAGTATAAACAAAATTTTACTTAGAAGATGTAAAATGTTCAGTGCAAAATGAGACTTGGAGCAAAGTATCTTATTGGGCTGCAATTTGAAAAAATTGTAGACCTGTAAATTCCCACTGTTGTCTGTCTATGTCTGTCCTTCTTTAATCTCAAGAATGGAGTTAGATAGATGAAAGTTGAGACCAGATATGGAAACCTTAGAGGCAGGAGATCCCGATTAACTATATACAAACTTTTGTTACAAACTAGAAATCATATTATTTCAATTAAAAAATTTTCCCCTGAAAGGAGTTAGATAGATGACCAGCATGATTCTATTGCTAACAAGAAAAATATGATAAATAAGGGCAATACACTACTAATTTGAGGTGGAGAGCATATATTTTAAATTAAATAAAAAATATAATTAAAAATTGCAACCCAGCATTGTGATGATGTCACAATAAATAATTGCTAATTTGTTTTTGGATTATCCCCACCANGTTTATTTGGTTTGTTTCCCAACATGCACGATATAACAAGGCAATACATGAGAGCACAGGATTTCGTGAATGTGCCACAGTGCCATCAATGTCTTTCATACCACTACTAGGGTGACTGATTATCATATGAGATGGCTCTCCAGACCAGCATGCCAACAATGGGCATTATGCCACTCAACAATAAAAGTGGAATTGAAGCATTCACCACTGAATCTTCCACACACTAACACAGTGGTCATCTGTTCCCAAACATAATGGGGTCTATCACTAAAGTTGTGCTGTCAGTTCATCACAATCACAATCATCAAGAGATCTTTATTACAAAAACTATAGAAATAGATAAATAAATAAAACTCACACCAAAAGAAGCTACAAAAACTAGTATCACTAGTCATAACTGGGCGAGTTACAGATAATTGAACAAAGTAAGACAGTACAAATACGTGTTATGGATAAAGATATAGAGGAGCAAAACAAAATATGCAGGGCCCCCTGAGCGCTTGTATGGGACCAGGGTACAAAGCAGGTTAGAGAGCCTGTAGAGAGAGAGGGAGGCCAACTATGAAACATTATGCCATTGGCTGTCACTGGCACATGATCAAATCCTCCAAAGTTTAGCCAAATACAAGCACTTTTCCACGTAAGTACGGTCGGAAACAAATCTAATAATTTAGGCCTTTTTATTTTTACTATTTATTTGACTTATGTTGACTTAACGACAAAGGTATAAACAAATAAAATAACCACATTATCAATGATAGAAAAGTAGTATTATATTCAATGCAAAAAATTTTGAGAAACTAGTGTAAGTCTAATATTCAATTAGTTGAACTGATCCAAAAGATAAATTCTAACAAATTTAGATCATACGAAGGCAATAGTGACAGTTCAAAATTAGTCATCTGACAGTTGTCATTTCTCTGTCTTTGACAGCTTGCATCACATTATAAACTAATCAATGTTTTAAATCATTACACACTATGGAAGAAATGGTTAAAATTGAATATTTGTTCTAATAATAAGACTACTTTATTTATCTATTTATGGCTTTATTATAAGAAAAGATTTATTTATGATATTGTTATATTTTTGTGATAACTATGACTGATTCTATAATTGATTTTATCAGTACATTTATCGTTATTTAAAATGTACATTTATTTATTTTACAGGTGACACAGTTATTTTGAAAAATTATGATGCCTCACCTGTTGGTTTAATTCAGTCATGGGTTGATCGTTTCAAAGATGACCAACTAGAAGAAATTTTAATTGAAGAATGGGAAAAAGATAAATGCCATTTTAGATATAGTTAATAATGTATCATTTTTTAAAATTTGATAATTTTTTTATGTGAAGCATTTTTCTAAATTTACTTTGAATTATATTTAATTTTGTAAATTTTTATTGTTATAATAATTCAATTAAAATCTTATTTGATTAAAGTGTATTATTGATTAATATTTTCATACTATGTCAAAAAATTTCATTATGTTTATTTCTATTAACTTTTTAAATAGTTACATGTCTTACAAGTTAAAACATATATACAGTATGTATACACATGTAGATTATGCATTTTGTAGTGAATGTTTTATTTAAATTTTGCAATTATTAACAACAAATGTTCTTCAAATTTTATAATTTACAAAAAGAACAAATTGTATGACATTTATTTATTATTTTGACGTAATTTAAAAAGTTTTATTTAATATGACAAAATGTATACAGTATGTGTGCTGTATAAACACTCCAAGCATTCCAAAATGTAGACCATAATATAGTGTTTCCCAATCCATGTGTCACGAGTTTCTCTGGTGTGTCACGGAAATATTAAATAATTTTTAGAATTTTGAATCAGCTCTTTTTTTAAAATTTCATTTTATCTTTCGTCTTTTTATTGCTAGCCGACCAAAGGGAAGAGTTAATCACTAAAATGCCAATTGTTGCAAAATGCATCAGCATATCTCTCTCACAAAAGTTGCATTTGTCTATGTGTATAACAGCATACCAACTCTTCGAAACTTCTGCAGCTTACCAGTTTAAAGACTCTTTACACATGATTCAAATTTTTTTTTTTTTTTAATTAACCATAATTTCTTTGAAATTTTAAACAGATAGTAAAATAGACAAATTTTTAATTAGAAAAGAATTTTAAACATTTTAACCATAAAAACTATGGTGTTTTGCAGGAATCTAATTAATTCAAAGTATGTCACTTATCCAAAAAATATTTTTGGATTTGTGGATTTTGAATTTCCAAATAAAAATATATTATTATTCCATATTTCATATACTGTATAACAACGGTTCTTAACCTTTTTCGGGTGGCGACCCCTTTTTATAAAATCCAAGTGACCCGCGATCCCGATACATTTAAAAAAGGCATTTTTAATAAGGTAATAAAAAAACAATGAAATTAGTTTTTTAGTATAATTTTATTTTAAATTATGTTTAATAATTACTTTAATGCGATAGTTGAAATTGCATGTTATTAACCAGCCTCAAAATTCATGGGTGAGATTTTGTTAACGCCAACCTCATGTCATTCTCAACATTTAATTTATTCCTCTCAAAACTNTTTTTTTTTTTTTTTTTTTTTGGTTCCTAAATTCTGCTAAGCATGCTCAATTGCATCTGGGAGCATTGGCATTGTCACTTTGACTCTCTGTTTCTCAAGCAAAGTCATAGACCCTCATTTTTTTATTATGTTTTGGATTCCTCATCACATTTAATGGGAAATGGCAAAGTTTAATCAAAATCAGTTTATCAAATTTTGAGAAAGAACACAATTCTGTAACCACATAATAGAAGCTTCACTAACAATCTACTTCAAAAAATAAAATAACCACATCATCAATGATAGAAAAGTAGTATTATATTCAATGCAAAAAATTTTGAGAAACTAGTGTAAGTCTAATATTCAATTAGTTGAACTGATCCAAAAGATAAATTCTAACAAATTTAGATCATACGAAGGCAATAGTGACAGTTCAAAATTAGTCATCTGACAGTTGTCATTTCTCTGTCTTTGACAGCTTGCATCACATTATAAACTAATCAATGTTTTAAATCATTACACACTATGGAAGAAATGGTTAAAATTGAATATTTGTTCTAATAATAAGACTACTTTATTTATCTATTTATGGCTTTATTATAAGAAAAGATTTATTTATGATATTGTTATATTTTTGTGATAACTATGACTGATTCTATAATTGATTTTATCAGTACATTTATCGTTATTTAAAATGTACATTTATTTATTTTACAGGTGACACAGTTATTTTGAAAAATTATGATGCCTCACCTGTTGGTTTAATTCAGTCATGGGTTGATCGTTTCAAAGATGACCAACTAGAAGAAATTTTAATTGAAGAATGGGAAAAAGATAAATGCCATTTTAGATATAGTTAATAATGTATCATTTTTTAAAATTTGATAATTTTTTATGTGAAGCATTTTTCTAAATTTACTTTGAATTATATTTAATTTTGTAAATTTTTATTGTTATAATAATTCAATTAAAATCTTATTTGATTAAAGTGTATTATTGATTAATATTTTCATACTATGTCAAAAAATTTCATTATGTTTATTTCTATTAACTTTTTAAATAGTTACATGTCTTACAAGTTAAAACATATATACAGTATGTATACACATGTAGATTATGCATTTTGTAGTGAATGTTTTATTTAAATTTTGCAATTATTAACAACAAATGTTCTTCAAATTTTATAATTTACAAAAAGAACAAATTGTATGACATTTATTTATTATTTTTACGTAATTTAAAAAGTTTTATTTAATATGACAAAATGTATACAGTATGTGTGCTGTATAAACACTCCAAGCATTCCAAAATGTAGACCATAATATAGTGTTTCCCAATCCATGTGTCACGGAAATATTAAATAATTTTTAGAATTTTGAATCAGCTCTTTTTTTAAAATTTCATTTTATCTTTCGTCTTTTTATTGCTAGCCGACCAAAGGGAAGAGTTAATCACTAAAATGCCAATTGTTGCAAAATGCATCAGCATATCTCTCTCACAAAAGTTGCATTTGTCTATGTGTATAACAGCATACCAACTCTTGGAAACTTCTGCAGCTTACCAGTTTAAAGACTCTTTACACATGATTCAAATTTTTTTTTAAATTAACCATAATTTCTTTGAAATTTTAAGCAGATAGTAAAATAGACAAATTTTTAATTAGAAAAGAATTTAAAAATTTTAACCATAAAAATTATGGTGTTTTGCAGGAATCTAATTAATTCAAAGTATGTCACTTATCAAAAAATATTTTTGGATTTGTGGATTTTGAATTTCCAAATAAAAATATATTATTATTCCATATTTCATATACTGTATAACAAAATCAGATATTTTCACTTAAAAATAAGCTTGCAAAATTATTTACAGCAGCCCCTCATTATATATCTTGTGATATATTGTACTTTTTTGTCTTTCCAATATAAAAATACTTTAGCAAAAATTTTTAAAAAAATCAGTTTTCTTTGAATTTCTACTAGCATTGAATCATCGACCTTGAAATTGCCATTGTATGAAATACAACTCTCAAATAAACAAGTTATCACAGAGATTAAAAATAGACAAAACGTGGATTGATACATTGATTACATTGGGCCATCTGATTTATTGTTTATTTGGTTTGTTTCCCAACATGCACGATATAACAAGGCAATACATGAGAGCACAGGATTTCGTGAATGTGCCACAGTGCCATCAATGTCTTTCATACCACTACTAGGGTGACTGATTATCATATGAGATGGCTCTCCAGACCAGCATGCCAACAATGGGCATTATGCCACTCAACAATAAAAGTGGAATTGAAGCATTCACCACTGAATCTTCCACACACTAACACAGTGGTCATCTGTTCCCAAACATAATGGGGTCTATCACTAAAGTTGTGCTGTCAGTTCATCACAATCACAATCATCAAGAGATCTTTATTACAAAAACTATAGAAATAGATAAATAAATAAAACTCACACCAAAAGAAGCTACAAAAACTAGTATCACTAGTCATAACTGGGCGAGTTACAGATAATTGAACAAAGTAAGACAGTACAAATACGTGTTATGGATAAAGATATAGAGGAGCAAAACAAAATATGCAGGGCCCCCTGAGCGCTTGTATGGGACCAGGGTACAAAGCAGGTTAGAGAGCCTGTAGAGAGAGAGGGAGGCCAACTATGAAACATTATGCCATTGGCTGTCACTGGCACATGATCAAATCCTCCAAAGTTTAGCCAAATACAAGCACTTTTCCACGTAAGTATGGTCGGAAACAAATCTAATAATTTAGGCCTTTTTATTTTTACTATTTATTTGACTTATGTTGACTTAACGACAAAGGTATAATGTCAAACAATCGTCTGTAGATTTTCGAAATTAGANCCTGTAGAGAGAGAGGGAGGCCAACTATGAAACATTATGCCATTGGCTGTCACTGGCACATGATCAAATCCTCCAAAGTTTAGCCAAATACAAGCACTTTTCCACGTAAGTACGGTCGGAAACAAATCTAATAATTTAGGCCTTTTTATTTTTACTATTTATTTGACTTATGTTGACTTAACGACAAAGGTATAATGTCAAACAATCGTCTGTAGATTTTCGAAATTAGAGTGTTTAGTGAATATATTCAATAAGAAACATTCAATTGAAATTTAGTGTAAGTTGTTTAATATTTACAGAATAGAAGTCATGAATTTTCTGTTGTTTGGGGCCTCCTTGGGAATTAGGAAAAGGGCGATTAGTGCCCTAATGTACGGGCGCTCCTGATTATGATTATTAATTGTAGAAATATAGGACCTACGCCGGAACGCATAATTTAAATCTGCACGCGACGACCGTGAAACCTCTCAAGAGTTGATTGTCGGTGCTTCTGATTGATCGTTTCACCCTCCACTCTTTTTAGTTTTATGTAAGCGCGGTCTTTTTGCTGATTTGAAAATAAGTGGAGTGCCTGAAAATGATGTTTTAGACAGCATAAATGATATGTAATCATGTAATATAAACGTAAATATCTGAGAATGAGTGTGAAACTGAATGCTTATAAATAAGGCGTCTTAAAAAACAAAAGTGAACCTCTCCAATAATGTAAATTAGTGTAATTTATTTTAGGGTGGCCAAGCGGTCTTTATACCCTGAACACTGGGAGTTCGGTCGTGGGTTCGCGCCTAGCTCGGACGAACTGGCCACTTGGTGTTTTCCGGGTTTTCTCCACGTCTGTAACGCCTAAATAGTGGCCAATTTCCGTTGCGTTGCCATAACTTAACAAACAAACAAACATTTATTTTAGGGGGCAAATTAAAGCTGTCAATACAGGGGAAATTCAAAAACTAACGATAATACAGGGCCACTAAACTTTTTTCATAGCGGGCCAAATAACTGAGAGAATGACGAGTGCGAGTCGAATAACCATTTTGTTCAGTACAGCACACTGAATACACAATAAATAAAGACAATCAGCGTATTTATTTACCAATACACAAACACGATCGCGCAGTAAGCTCGCAATCGCTTCCCTTAGAAACTTCATTGCAAGTACAGTACTTATACAAAAAGCGCTCTGATATCCAAAGTCGCAAAACGTTGCTGAATTTTTTATTTCACTGATTTACTTAAAAATTATATTACTGTCAGATGCAAAAATCAGATTGGACCAATTTTGGCACTTTTACTTACACTTATTTTAAATTTTTTTACATAGTAAGTTTATCTACAACCTATGATATATCTGTATAAATGATTATATTTTAGTTCGTTTGTGGCACAGTGCGGCAACGGACCGGATGAACTGACCTATAGTTTGGTGACCTCTGCGATAATACGTCAAAGATTATGCATTTTGTAGTGAATGTTTTATTTAAATTTTGCAATTATTAACAACAAATGTTCTTCAAATTTTATAATTTACAAAAAGAACAAATTGTATGACATTTATTTATTATTTTGACGTAATTTAAAAAGTTTTATTTAATATGACAAAATGTATACAGTATGTGTGCTGTATAAACACTCCAAGCATTCCAAAATGTAGACCATAATATAGTGTTTCCCAATCCATGTGTCACGAGTTTCTCTGGTGTGTCACGGAAATATTAAATAATTTTTAGAATTTTGAATCAGCTCTTTTTTTAAAATTTCATTTTATCTTTCGTCTTTTTATTGCTAGCCGACCAAAGGGAAGAGTTAATCACTAAAATGCCAATTGTTGCAAAATGCATCAGCATATCTCTCTCACAAAAGTTGCATTTGTCTATGTGTATAACAGCATACCAACTCTTCGAAACTTCTGCAGCTTACCAGTTTAAAGACTCTTTACACATGATTCAAATTTTTTTTTTTTTTTAATTAACCATAATTTCTTTGAAATTTTAAACAGATAGTAAAATAGACAAATTTTTAATTAGAAAAGAATTTTAAACATTTTAACCATAAAAACTATGGTGTTTTGCAGGAATCTAATTAATTCAAAGTATGTCACTTATCCAAAAAATATTTTTGGATTTGTGGATTTTGAATTTCCAAATAAAAATATATTATTATTCCATATTTCATATACTGTATAACAACGGTTCTTAACCTTTTTCGGGTGGCGACCCCTTTTTATAAAATCCAAGTGACCCGCGATCCCGATACATTTAAAAAAGGCATTTTTAATAAGGTAATAAAAAAACAATGAAATTAGTTTTTTAGTATAATTTTATTTTAAATTATGTTTAATAATTACTTTAATGCGATAGTTGAAATTGCATGTTATTAACCAGCCTCAAAATTCATGGGTGAGATTTTGTTAACGCCAACCTCATGTCATTCTCAACATTTAATTTATTCCTCTCAAAACTCTCAACACATGTTTCAACCAACTGTGACCAGAATAGCGTAACCAGATTACGCTTATTTTAATTTTTAAAAAATATATGAAATTATTCAAACTTTAAGACACCATTAAAAATAAATATTGCATTACAGTGGAAACTTTTTTTTACTTTACTGCATAAGTTGGCGACCCCACAGAAAACCTGTCGCGACCCATAGGTTGGGAACCCGTGCTGTATAACAAAATCAGATATTTTCACTTAAAAATAAGCTTGCAAAATTATTTACAGCAGCCCCTCATTATATATCTTGCGATATATTTACAGTGACCATATTTTTGGGGGGAAAATAAAGGACATATCAAAGAAAATCAAAAAATACCTTATAAAATTCATAAGTTTATAATATTTATTATGAAAATAGTAGCATACAATAATGCATACATTAAAATTTTAAACAATCTGAATTATTACACATAAACACATTGTAAAAATTTAAATAACATTAATTTTGATACTTTTCAGTAGAATTAATTTTTTTTTTATAGTGCCGTTTCATGCTTTAAAGTCATAAAATTCCATACAGTTCATTTGAAAGTTGTATTTGATGGAAATACATGCTTCTAATGTGCTTACTTTTAAATCAGTTTTTTCATTCGTCCACATATTATTCACCAATGCAAATATTCGTTCAACAGGGGCATTAGATCCAGGGAGACAAAGAAAATTCTACGATTTTACAAATGTTTTTGAAAACAATTTCTTTTGCTGTAAAATGTTCAAAAATCTCAATCCACCTTTGATGGCAGGGCTGGTTATTCTGTCACCATTCGTCGATCTTTTCGTTTGTGACATATTTTTTTACACATGAAACTTCATCAAATAATTCA